CAAGCACGGACCGACAGCGAAAACAAACAATATGTTACAAATTTACGTTTTACGACCGGAATGAGGCTATTTTGGCCCTTTGGGGCTTTCTTTGGGGCCTTATTGGGGGTCGCTTGGGGTTTCTTGGGGGCTTCTGAAGCCGCTTTGGAGGCTCGCCCGCGCTCCAAGACTGCCCCTTACGGCCCCGGAGGCCCCAAAGAGTGCCCCAAAGCGGACCCCAAAGTGCACAAGAGGCACCACACACTGCCCAAAGGGGCCAAAGTTGGGAACCCGAATATACATTTCGAGCCCTCGGCCCCAAAGAGCACCCAGGAGGCCCCTAAGAGGCCCCAGAGAGGCTCCGAAGAAACCCAAAACTGCCCCAAGAAGCCCCCGAGAACGCTCCGAAAAAAAAACACAGGGAACAACCGTAAGAACTCGGACACGCAGCACAGGCATGGTGGCGGGATGGGCAGACGACAATCACCAACGACTGCCAGGAACTCGCAGAAAATCCAACGAATTGTCTGGAATTCGCCCGGGATCTGTCTGGTATCCTTCAGGATCCTCCTGGATTCGTGTTCGAATCCTCCAGAGATTCTCAAAAACCATTAAAGAGCCCCGCAAACCCTTCAAGAATCCGTCAGGATTCAGTTAGGAATAAATTTGTGATATTCGAAAATCCTCCCTGCATCCTCAAAGATATTCCAGGAGTCCTCGAAAAATAATATTGGAGCTCCGTTTGGATCGCCTTTTGATATTGGTGGGATCCGCCCTCGATCTCTGAAGCTGTTGCAAACTCCGGAAAAGAAAACAATTATCCTGGCGAAGGACCCAACCATATGCAGTTGTGAATACCGCAATTGTGAATACCATCTTCGCCCGCGCTCCCTGTGGCCACGGCTTCCCGCCGGAGCCCGACATGCTCAGGGACACGTTCGTGGCCGTCTTCGCGGGCGCCGACGACGACAAGGACGGCGTCCCTCTGGTGGCGTTGCACGTCGACAAGGCGGAGTACGACGCCCAGGCGCGGTTGTTGAAGCAGCACAACTATGGGGCCACGATCCTCGTGAGGGGTGTGCCGAAATGGCCCGGGGCCGCCATGCGAACCCTGCCACTGGCGCCTTCGGTGGAGCTCCAGTGGGGCCACGGTCCTCGTGAGGGGTGTGCCGAAATGGCCCGAGGCCGCCATGCGAACCCTGCCACTGGCGCCTTCGGTGGAGCTCCCTATGGGGCCACGATCCTCGTGAGGGGTGTGCCGAAATGGCCCGAGGCCGCCATGCGAACCCTGCCACGGGGGGCCTTCGGTGGAGCTCCCTATGGGGCTACGATCCTCGTGAGGGGTGTGCCGAAATGGCCCGAGGCCGCCATGCGAACCCTGCCACTGGGGGCAGTCTCCCTACGATGTGAGCTGGCCCGATGCGAACCCTGGGGCCTTCGGTGGAGCTCCCTATGGGGCCACGATCCTCGTGAGGGGTGTGCCGAAATGGCCCGAGGCCGCCATGCGAACCCTGCCACTGGCGCCTTCGGTGGAGCTCCCTATGGGTCCACGATCGTCGTGAGGGGTGTGCCGAAATGGCCCGAGGCCGCCATGCGAACCCTGCCACTGGCGCCTTCGGTGGAGCTCCCTATGGGGCCACGATCCTCGTGAGGGGTGTGCCGAAATGGCCCGAGGCCGCCATGCGAACCCTGCCACTGGCGCCTTCGGTGGAGCTCCCTTATGGGTCTACGATCGTCGTGAGGGGTGTGCCGAAATGGCCCGAGGCCGCCATGCGAACCCTGCCACTGGCGCCTTCGGTGGAGCTCCCTATGGGGCCACGATCCTCGTGAGGGGTGTGCCGAAATGGCCCGAGGCCGCCATGCGAACCCTGCCACTGGCGCCTTCGGTGGAGCTCCCTATAGGGCCACGATCCTAGTGAGGGGTGTGCCGATATGGCCCGAGGCCGCCACGCGAACCCTGCCACTGGGGCCTTCGGTGGAGCTCCCTATGGGGCTGCGAAACGCTGTGCTGGGTGGGTGAAACGAAAGGAGGAGGGGGAGGAGGAGAGGAAGAGAGGAGACGCGGGCCACCGTCTCTTCAAAACGAGGACCCAACACCACAGGATGGTTGGGAAATAACGGCGACTCTCAGACAAAAGACACACTTTGAACAATCTACACATCCGCCATAGGTGAAACTCATGCATTTCACTGTCAAGACGAATGTGCGCGGCGACGAGGCGAGAACCACATGTTTAAAGGAGCCTCCCTCCATCTGTGAAGCTCTTGCTTGATTGTTGTGGCGCAGCGATCGGGCGAGAAGTACATGTTGGAGAACCACTCGCTCTCCAGCCGCAGCGCTGCTGCAGGCTTCTACAAACGAACATGCGCGGCGCTGAAGGAACAATGGCAAAGGTTGAAAAAGAGAGCCGCCCTCCACCCATGGACCTGCTGCAGCCTTCTAAGACCAAACTGCGCGGCAGTAGGACGAGAACCTCAGTCTGAAGTGGAGCCGAGCCCTTTGCGTGAAGCAGCTGTCAACTGTTAGGACGAGTGGGCGCGGCACTAACAAAAACCAAACTGCGCAGCAGTATGACAAGAATTTCAGTCCGAAACAGAGCCGACGCCTTTGCGTGAAGCAACTGCTAACTGTTAGTACGAGTGGGCGCGGCACTCAAAAAAGGGCCACATTCTGCAAAGGATCTGCCCTCCAGCCGTGAAACACCACCTTTTGAAATTCTGGGCGGGCGGAAATCATGCAATTTTGCCGAAAGGGGGGCCGATATTGCTTGACAAGGTCAGGCTCCTCGACCTGATGGGAGCTAAAGAACGGCCCGGATAATCGGAGCCCTTCCAAAGCCAGAAGCGGTCCTTATTCGTCGTGGACCTCGAGAAGCTCCGCGATTCTCTACGCCGCAAGATGTGCAAACGCCACCGTGCAGACCCCAGCCCCCTGAGTCGGGTGTTGCCGGGACCCCCAGGGCCAGGGCCACAACTGGCACCCCCCTGATTGTGGGCCCGCACCAGAGCCACTCTAGCGAAGGGCTCGCTGGGGAGGAGAAGTCCGACACCGCCATCCCTCGGCTATACGCAGGAGTGACCCTCCTGACGACCCCCTATGGGTATGTGTGCTGTTCGATCGCCAAATCCACACCCCATGGGTACGGGTGTGTATGTATGTGTGTATGTGGGTATGTGTATATGTGTGTTGTGTGTTGTGTGTGTTGTGTGTTGTGTGTGCTGTGTGTTGTGTCTTGTGTGTTGTGTGTGTTGTGTGTGTTGTGTGTGTGTGTTGTGTGTGTGTGTTGTGTGTGTGTTGTGTGTGTGTTGTGTGTGTTGTGTGTTGTGTGAGTGTGTGTGTGTGTTGTGTGTGTTGTGTGTTGCGTGTGCTGTGTGTGTGTGTGTGTGTGTTCGCTCGTCACCTTGCGCATCAACCCCTCGCCGATCCGAGGCCTACTCTCCCAGCCCAGGACGTCGGCCTTGGGGTCGCGCCTCCCGCCGGCCACGCGCAAGAGTGACCCTGGGCAAAAAAGGACCTCTGGTGCGCGGCCCGGTGGGGCCACGCCCGAGCGCGGAAGGCGCCGCGATCGCATCGCAAGGGGGCCCCAGTGCGCCAGCACCGAAGGTCACACCCGGTCAAAGGTCACTCTGACGTGTAGCCGACCCCCCCCCGTAGCTCTCCGAGGGTGTGTTCGGACCGGACTTTGAGACGAATCCAGCCGTGGCGGCAAAGGAAGGGTAGGGTTAGGTCGGGCCTGTCCCCGTACAGGCGGAGGATACTTGACAAAAATAAAATGTAGATTCCAAAAAGACTCCCAACTGGCAAGAAATAACCTCATGCCCGTGAGAATAAACACTAGGGGATAATAAAGTTCGGGGTTCAGGGAGAGATAATAAAAGTAGCCCAGCAGACCTCAGCATAATCTCGAAGTAAGAGATGATCAAGAGGAGACCAAGCCGAGCACGTTTTGAGACATCCTTGGCGTTTAGTTTTCATAGAAATATCCTCAACAATGGCTTATCTCTCATGAAAATTGTTTTTTTGTAAGTGCTCGTGTAGGGTAGCTCATGTGCCTCAATTTCCATGGATAATCAACCCCAGAAATAAAACAGTTCAGGCGAGCGTGGGGACAGAGAGAAATATAAAAGAAGAAGAATACAGTAGAAGAATAATAAGAAAGGAGAAGAAGAGGAGAATAAGAAGAGGACGAAGAAAGGAAACATCCAAAGTTCCAAATATCTCAATTTTAATTTACAAACGCTTGATGAAAATTGATGTTTTAAAGTGCTCGTGTAGGGTAGCTCATGTGCTTCATTTTCCATGGATAATCAACCCCAGGGATAAAAAAGTTCAGGCGAGCGTGAGGACAGATATAAATATAAAAGAAGAAGAGGAAAGTAGAATAATAATAAGAACATTGCTCGTTTCGTTTGAGTCTGCCTCCCAAAATTATTGGTTTCGCTTGACACATCCTGAAAAAGTGTGATCGCTTCGCTTGATGTTGCTATATCAACATCGCTTGATGTTGCTATCTCAACATAGCGTTTCGAGGTGATAATGAAGTTCGGCCTCAGCGCTCGCCGCCCAATTTGAATTTTGTATAGGGCGACGATAATCAACTCTAAACACTGAAGGGGGGGGTCCCTTCATTATCATCGGCATGCGGTTAGTCAAACAATCGTCCCAAACTGTTTTCTGACCATTCTTACAATACTCCTCATGTACAGGGACAGGCCCCCGGCTGAAAGGGTAGCGGCATCGGCCCCCCCTGCCTCCTCCTTCAGATCTGACGATGCCCACGAACTGCAACATCGGATAACATCACCACCAGAGGCCCAGACCTCATCGTGCTGCGTCATGCTTCGAGCCCGATAGACATATGAGAAGGAGGAGGAGGAGGAGCCGGATCCAGCGCCCGAGACTGGGCGAAGACACTCGTTGTGAACAAACTGCAACGCCGTCCCCAGACCACCCCAGACCCTCCAAGATAGCCTGGAAGAGACCCCCCCCCCCGAAATGAGAACCCCCCTCCCTTTATTACGAAATCTGGAGTATCCTTAATGTTCCACCCTCGATGCCACCCCCGGCCGCTTCTGGGCCGGGGGCATCGGGCGCACGGGCGCCGAGGGCGGGCGCGCGCGGCCGCCGCAGCCGGGGCGGCCAAGAGCGCCTCGCAGGGGCCCCTCCGCTCCTGCCCTGCCGCTGCGAGGACAACTTGTCACTGTGCGCGACACCGTGGAGGCCCGACCACAAAGACACCTCCCGCCAGAAACCCGACCCTGCGATCCCAGGAAGTGCAATCCATAGAATTCTTGGTGTGGCAACGTCACGCCCTCCGTCGCAACAAAAACCATCCAGGCACCCCGGAGGCAGGCAGGGTGTTTTTGTTGGCATGGGTCTGCATAGTAACGCCCGTGACTGGTCCCGCTCCACCCCTGGTCACGTCACGCTTCGCGCCAGCGCCGTGTCGGAATGAGCCGTTCCCCAACGGCGCCAGCGCGCTGCGCGGATCCGACTCCCTCACCCCCGTGTTCCCCCCCGCCCCCCGGGTCACGTTTGTTCTCGCCGAGGGGTGGAAAGACGGTCTCAAACCAAAAACGGCAACATCGCGGAAAATCATGGCAGGAGCCTTCTAAGCCTTGGGCGTCGCCTGATACATGGGGGCAGCGAGGGCCGAACGAAATCCGCTCTGCGTTGTTGGCGCCATGAGAAGGGGGGGAGGGTAAGGCTAGGTCGGGCATGTCCCCCTACAGGGGGATTTTGGAAGACAAATTTCGAATACCCCATACATGTTTAAACATACGAAACACATGTTCCAAACATCCAAACATGGTCCCCGGACTATTTCTTTTAAGCTATTCTTGAACACTCCTCCTGTAGAGGGACACGCCCGACTTGAGGAACAGGGGCAGAAGGCGCGTTGGGGCCCAGAGGGTAAAACACGCACTCCCGAAGATCGGGAGCGGCCAAGACGGGGGTGTCCAAGAGGGGGGGAATGCAAATCATGACCGACGGCATGTGCGCGGCCCAACGAGGGGCCAGGGACGTAATGACATAAGAAGAGGCGCCATGAAATCCGGAGAGATATCATGGCCCCCGCCACGATATCCCCCCCCCCCTGGTCATCACCCCCCTCTCTGCCGCCCCCAAGAAGACGGGCACCGGCCGGGGACGCGTTGGCCCTCAGCAGGTGCCGCACGAAACCGGGCAGGACGCGGCCGTGCCGCCGTGGCGGCAATGCCCCAGCTGCGCGAGCTTCTCGCAGCTGCTCATCAGGTCCTCGGAGCGGCGCGGTTTCTGCCGGAGTCTGCTGAGGAGAAGGAGGAGGAGGAAGAGGAGGACGAGGAGGAGGAGGAGGAGGGGGATGGGGAGGAGCAGGAGGCGGAGGAGGAGGAAGAGGGGGAAGCCAGTCACTGTCTCCACTCGCGTCCGCGCCGAGCGGGGCGCCTGCACGCGAGAGCCCCCCGCAGGGATCCCCTCTGAGCGGCTCGGGCCTCATCCCTCGACGTCTGCGCAGCGGCGGCAGCAAACGCGGCAGCCGCCTTCTCCTCGGGGCCCTCGAGCGGCGCGGTGCCCAGGCGGAGGAGGCAGGAGGCAGGGGGCAATTGCGGCAAGCGGCAGGAGGAGGGAAAAAGGAGGGACGAAGGAGAGATAACGAGGATACGACTACCCCGCTGCTGGCGATGCCGGCGCTCCAGTGGGCGCGATGGCAAGCACCAGTGAGAACGACAGACAACCTGCCTACTGCGAGGAGCACGATACGCGAGGTGGCCCACCAGGAGTGGCGGACGGCACACCGGGCAGCAGCGGCGGCAGGCAGCGCGGGGCGCACCTGCTTGAAGGTGTCGAGGTGTCGAGCGGAGGGCGCCGAGGCCTGGCAGCAGCGTGTGGGGCCACCTGGCCCAAGCCGGCTCCTTTGCACTCTGCTCTTGACGAGCACTGCGAGCCTGGAGCTCCTTTGCACTCTGCTCTTGTGGGGGGGAAGAGGAGAGGGAAGACGGAGGGAAGGGAGGAGGAGATGGGGACCGGTGAAGGAGTGCGGGGGATGAGGTGGAGGAGGAGGAGGAGGAGGAGGAGGAGGAGGAGGAGGGAAAGGAAGAGGAGGAGGAGGAGGAGAAGCAGGAAAAGGCCACTCCACAGCAGACATCCAGGGACGTGGCTTGGAGACTTGGAGGCTACCTCGAGGGGGAGCCCCTCGCTCGCTCGCCGCACCGGGCGCGTCACAGAACTCACGAAGCTTCGGAGCTACAGGCCTCGACAATGTCGACCTCTGCAGCTTGCAGGTCCCTGCGCTCAGTGGTAAAACTCACAGCCGCCGACGGGTCAGCGACGCCATGCAGACGGGCGACCTCATGGTCGATGAGAGGAGGAAGGAGGGGGCGGAGCTACGGCTGAGCCGCCGTGGATCCGTCTTCTACCCCGCAGGGCGACGGCCGCTGTGCCACACATGCGCCGCCACCCCCACAGGGCGTCAGGGACATCATGGGGAAGACGGGGAGGAGGGGATGAAGGGAAGGTGGGAGAGAGGAGGAGCAGGAGGGGTGAAAAGAAGGAGGGAGGATGGGGGGGTAGGCAGGCTTAGCGAGGAAGAGAAAGTAAGAGAGAGGAGAAGCAGGGAATGGGAAAAGGGGAAGTGACGATGAGGAGGGGGTAGAAAGGGAAGCAAGAGCAAAGAGAAGGTAGGAGAGAGAGAGGATGAGCAGAAAGGGGGAAAGCGAGGAGGGAGCATGGGAAGAGGGTGGGAAGAGGGAGCATGGGGAAGAGGAGGGATGATGGGGAGAGGGTAGGAGGGAGGCACGAACGAAGAAAAGGAAGTAGGAGAGAGGAGAATCTGTAAGCTGGGAAAGGAGGAGTGAGGTTGGGGAGGGGGTAGGAGGGATGCAGGATCGAGGAGGTAGGAGAGAGGAGGGGAAGGGAGGGGGAACAAGAGGATGACGAGGGGAGGAGGTAGGAGGGAGGTAAGAGCGGGGGACAGAGGTACGAGAGGAGGAACAGAAAGGGGGAACAAGGAGAGAGGATGGGGAAGGGGTTAGAGGGAGGCAACATCGAGGAAGAGGAGGAAGGAGAGAGGAGGAACAGGAAAGGGGAACAGGAGGAGGCAGGATGGGCAGGAGGGAGGAGGGAGGCAATGGCAAGGAAGAGAAGGACGGAGAGCGGACGAGCAGGAACTGGGGTGACGGAGGGAGGACGTGGAGGGGGGTTAGGAGGGAGGCAAGAGCGAAGAGGAGGTAATAGAGGAGGAGCAGGAAGGGGGAAAGGATGAGTGAAGACGGGGAGGTGGCAGGAGGGAGGCAAGAGCGAGGAAGTGGAGGAAGGAGAGAGGAGGAGACGGGAGGGGGGAACGGAAACGAGAAGATAGGGGAAAGGGTTAGGCGGGATGTAAGAACGAGGAAGAGGTAGAAACGAGGACCAGGGCGGGGGATGGGGAGGGGGAAGAAGGAGGTATAGTGGGGAGGGGGTAGGCGGGACGCAAGAGGGAGGAATAAAGGGTAGGAGAGACCAGGAACATGAAGGGCAACGTAAGCAAGAGCGAAGACGAGGAGATAGGAGAGATGGGGAGCAGACACGAGAAACGCACGAGTGAGGATGGGGAGGGGGTAGGAGAGAGGCATGCTAGAGGAAGAGGTAGGAGAGCGGAGACGGGAGGGGAACAGGAGGAGGGAGGATGGGCAGGAGGTAGGAGGGAGGCAAGAGCGAAACAACAGAGGTAGGAGAGAGCAGGAGCAGGAAGAGGAGGGATGATGGGGAGGGGGTAGAAGGGAGGCACGAGCGTGGAAGAGGAGGTAGGAGAGAGGAGCAGGAGTGGGGAAAAGTACGAAGTAGCAGGGAGAGGACGCGGCCAGGCCTGGAAGAGCGAGGGGGATAACGAGGCAGGACGACGAGGGAGGCCAGGCAGGGCAGCCCGCAGCGGAGGACAACGAGGAGGATGAGGGAAGAGGGGCGGGGCAGGGGGCGGAGGGCGGGAGAACGAGGGAGGGGGGACGAGGACAGGGAAGAATTCCAGAGTAAATTAACGTGCAGCCCTAGCCGCATGCTCGGCACGGGGCAACCCTTGAGGCCAGACTTGTGCCGAACCGTCTGAGACATTCCCGACGTGTCGCTTGACGCTGAGACAAACAAGCAGCTTTCAAGTCCTCAGATCAGAAATGACTGCAAAATAACTCCCACCTACTGCAAAACCAAACCCAGAGGCTTACGTGGTAACCCATCTTTGATTGGTTGGCCTCCATCCCCCCGCAAAAATGCAAATATTGCCCCGAAGTAGGGAGCAAGCCGTGAGGAACACCGCGCAGGACTCGAAACAAGAGGTCAGACGCCAATCGGTGGCGGTGACGTCGAGGAGGAGGAGGAGAAGGAGGAGGAGGAGGAGGAGGAAGGAAGGAGGAGGAGGAGGAGGAGGAGGAGGAGGAGGAGGAGGGGGGGAGGAGAAGGGGGTAGGAGGGGGGGGAGAGGAGGAGGAGGAGAGGAGAGGAGGAGGAGGAGGAGGAGGAGGGGAGGAGGAGAAGGTGACGTCCAGGATGAGGAGGAGGAGCAGGGGAGTGGGAGGAGGAGGAGTAGGAGGAGGGGGGGAGGAGGAGGAGGAGGAGGAGGAGAGAGGGAGGAGGAGGGAGGAGGAGAGGAGGAGGGGCAGGAGGAGGAGGGGGGGAGGAGGAGGAGCCCCAGGAGGAGGGGGGGGGGGAGAGGGCCCCCATCCCGAGCCGCTGCCCTCGCCCTGGTGACCAGACACCTCTCCTCTGCGCCTCTGCGCGGCCCCCGAGGCACGTGTGCGCCCCGCTGGCCTCCCGTGGAGGGAGGAAGGGCGAAGGGAAAACGTGGCCCAAAAACCCTGTCCTCGTGGCCTCCTCCCCCTTTGGGCGAAGGAGGAGAGGAAGGGCGAAGGGAGCCTGTCCTCGTGTCCTTTCCTCCTTTGGGTGACCCAACAGGGGGTCCAGCTGAAAGGGAGTGGTGCAATAGATTTCGGACAATTGTATTGCAAACGTATTGCGCCGGAGAATTGTATTGCATTGTATTGCAAGTAATGCATTGCACGCGAAAATCCAGCAATACATCTGCGCCCCGGAATGCATTCCACGCCCCAAACGTATTGCAACCCCACGAATCTATTGCACCACATCTAGTGCACCATCCCCTTGTCGCTTGACCTCCTTTTGGGTCAACCCGATTCCCCCCTGATCGGTTTCCTCCTCCCTCCTCACCCCCATACAGTAGGGGCCCGACCACAGGAAACCATGCACAGGAAACCCAACTCTGAGACCCCAGGACGTCCATCGATTTTTGGTGTAGGAACGTCGCGCCTTCCATCGAAACCCAAGAAACCCAGGGCACCCTGAAGGCAAGCAGGGTGTTTTTTGGCATGGGTCTCCGCTGTATCCCCCCCTCCTCCTCTCAGATCCGGGCGTGGCGGTCTGGTCACAACGGGCGTTCTCGCCCCGTTTCGGGCCCCAGGATCCTCACAGATCGGCCTGGCTCGAAACACGGCGCAGGAGGAGGAGGAGGAGGAGGAGGAGGAGGAGGAGGAGGAGGAGGAGGAGGAGGAGGAGGAGGAGGAGGAGGAGGAGGAGGAGGAGAAGGGGGAGTAGGAGGTGATGATGCATTGCGAGGTTGTTTCTTACAATGCCAGGTCAGATAAGCCCCTCTCGCCTCTCCGCCTCCGCCATCTCCGCCGACGACGGCCTCGACAACGACGACGACGACGACGACGATGATGACGCCCTCGACGACGACGGCGACGGTGGCGAAGACGGCGGCGACCTCGGCCTCGACGACAACCTGGGGGGCCAGCATCCTCGCAAGCCGCGCCGAGCTGGCAGCCCCCGCACGTCAGCTCGCACGACGCCAGGGAGGCCGGGCTCGTGCAGGCGCCCAGCGCCTGCACTAGTTGCAGGCTGCCCCCATCGTACTTGAGGACCACATCCCAGAAATACTTTTCGAGCACCCAGACAAGGATCGAAACGGTGTCGAGCGAATATCGCCTCCCAAGGCCCGACACGTGAAAACCCTCCAGCCTCGGAATGTGCTTGGTGCTGGATTTTTTCTGGTGATCCAGGCTAACGAAGGTTGGAACACCCCAACGCCAGTTCGGCGGCGAGCCCGGGCGGGACAGTTTCTTCGCCTCCCCCTTCTCCTCCTCCTCCTCCTCCTCCTCCTTCTCCTCCTCCTCCTCCTCCTGTGAGAAGGGGCGGGTCTTCCCAGAAGTCTCGGGAGTCTCGGCAGCCCCTCGGCCTTCCGAGCCGTTTCCTGAGGCCTCTCGGAGCAGTCTCGCAGAGCAGAACAGCCTCTGAGCGGCCCCGCCGCCTCCTGAGAGGGACCTCTCCCCTCCTCGCTCCCCCCCGCCCCTTCCCTCCTCCTCTTCCTCCTCCTCCTCCTCCTCCTCCTCCTCCTCCTCCTCCTCCTCCTCCCCCTCGCTCGCCACCGGCAGGAGGCGCGAGAGCTTCTGAGAGAAGTGCCGCCGCCTCCTGAGGGGGCCTTCTCCTGCCGGCTCCCGCCCCTCGCTCGCCGCCGACTTTCGTCTTGGGTCGGGCATGTCCCCCTACGGGCGGATGTCTGACGAACAAAGAACTGGCCATCGCTCGGACGTCCATTTCCTGTGTTTTTTTTCCGGTGTCGTGCGTGTTTTTTTTTGTTCGAGAAATGATCAAGTATGCTCCTCGATGGTCCTCGCCGAAAGAAAAATGCACACGTCCGAGCGATGCCAAGAGAGTCCCCTCGCCCGCAGACGCGCCGTCCGCCCGCGCCGAGGCAAGGGCCCCTCCCCTCCTTTCCCGTGCGCGGGGGGCCTGGTACGCCCTGCAGGTCGAGGCTTCCAGCAGGTCCTCCCGGGAATGACCGGGGGCGGAGGAGGAGGAGGAGGAGGAGGAAGAGGAGGAGGGGGGACAGGCTCAAGGAGAAGGGAACCGTCAATCTGGCATCGGCGACACATCGCCGATGGCTCGGCGATGTGTCCCCCCCGATGGCAAGCCCGCACGCTGCTGGGCGGGTTGCGGCTATCATATCCCTGTCAGCGATCCTTGGAGACGAGCCCTCTGCCTTAGTGAGCGTTTTTCTTGTTCTGGCTCCAGACCTCTGCTTCATTCCACGGTTTGCAACAGTGCGTCCTTTGGAGGAGACTGCACCTGCTCGAAACAGGCGCCAGCAACAGCCGAGATCTACTCCAAGGCGGGGGGGGGGGGGGGGGCGAGGGTCCGCGCCGAACAAAAAACAATAAGAAGAAAACGATCACCTATGAGAACTTGCATGGCCATTTTTTTGTTCGAGGCGCACTCTTCCTCTCGACCGCCGCGACAAACTCGGTGGCAAGACCAGGCATGTGCTGTTTGTGGGCTACCACTTCAGCCGTAGACGGCGATGGTCTCAGAACTACTGTGTCCTCGACGCTGAAGCCTATGCCAACACCGGGGACAGTACACATCGTCCTATCGTCAGGGTGCCCCCCTGAGCCTTTGGCGGTGCGCACAAATGGGTGGAGGGCGGGGGGAGGGCTTCCTAGGAGGAGGCTGCTTCTTAGAAGGCGCCAAACTTGCATCTGTAGAGAAGGCCCGCGCCTTCTGAGAAGCAGGGGTGCTTCCAAGAAGACCTCCCCCTCCCCCCACCACCATCTGCGCGTGCCGGGCCGGGCGAAACGGGGAGATAGCAAAGGGGGGGCTTGGGAATCAGCTCACGTAGCTGATTTTCCCGGCGCCTCCCGGCGCCGAGAGGCGCCTATGCATCGAGGAATGGGCCCGGCGGCGGGGCCGAAACCAGCTGCATACAGCAGATTCCGTAATCCCCCCTTTCCCTATCCCCCCTTTCGTCCGGCCCGAATGGTTCAACGGGCCCTGAGACACACAAAATGATGGGCACAAATCCCAGGATTCCCCACATTCTCGTATCTTTTCTGGGTGCTCCTCTTACCCCCCCACTTCCCATGCCTTCCCATATGTTCCTGGGAGCCGACGATCAATCGTGTCTGTGTGTTCTTCGTTCGGCCCGCGCGTGGCTGGGTCCTATCCTCAGGATGGCCCCCTGAGCCTGCCTAAAACAGGGCTAGGATCGGGATAAATCGCTCCAGAGCGTTCCGGAGCGCTCTCAGAGCGTTCCGGAACGCTCTGGAGCGGCCGCGGCGCCCAATACATCCTCCAAACCCGCCGATTCTCAGAGATTTCGAGTTATCCCGATCCGATTTTGTCCCGATCTTCGCGTCGTTTTATCCTATCCTCAGGGTGGCCCCCTGAGCCTGCCCCCCGGGGCCGGCCCAGGCCACCCGGGGGCCGCGGAGCGGGGCCGGACGTCCCGGCCCCGGAGCGTGCGGCGGGTGCTGCAGGCCTCCCAGGGTCTGGCCCCCCCCCCTCGCCACCCAGGCCCACCGCACGCCCGCCACCCACCACGCACCCCTCCGCGGGGCGGAGGAGGAGGAGGAGGAGGAGGAGGAGGAGGAGGAGGAGGAGGAGGAGGAGGAGGAGGAGGACAGGAAGGAGGGAGGAGGAGGTGGAGGAGGAGGTGGAGGAGGTGGAGGAGGAGGAGAGGGGGAGGAGGAGGAGGAGGAGGAGGAGGAGGAGGAGGAGAGGAGGAGGAGGAGGAGGAGGAGGAGGAGCAGGAGCAGGAGCAGGAGGGGGGGGAGGGGTGCGCAGGAGAGGAGGGGGAGGTGGGGAGAACGAAGGTGGCGAGCAGGGGGGAAAAAGGGACCGACGACGACGACGAAGACGACGAGGACGTCGACGACCACGGCGGCGGCGGCGACGACGACGATGGAAACAAAGGAGAACGGAGAAGGAACATAATTGCTGCATTCCTCTGTCTATCTGCCTCTCTCTCTCTCGCTCTCTGTCTCTCTCTCTCTCTCTTTCTCTCTGTCCTCGTCCTCGTTGTCCTCCTCCACCTCATCCTCGTCCTCGTCCTTGCCCTTACCGTATTCCTTTTCCTGTTGCTCCTCTTCCGTGTCGTCGTGGTCGTGGTCGTGGTCAACGTCGTCTTTGTCGTCCTCTTCCTCCTCCCCCTCCTTCTCCTCCTCCTTCCCTCGCCCCCTCGCGGGCTCAGAGATGGCCCGAACAGGCCCTCCAATGCTGGCCCCCTTGCTCTCGAAGATCTCTCTGTTCGCCCTGGTTCCCCGCGCTATTTCACAATATGTGTCTCTTCGTCCCCCTTTTGCCATCAACTCTCACGGGCAGAGGTTCTGATTGGGCTGGTGGGGATACGCGAAACGTGAAGATGGTCTTCATGAATTCCTTCGTGACCTTTTTTTGGGTACCAACTGACTAATGGGATCCGGGTCTCTCTCGTGCCATGTGGTTTACAGATGTCTCGATCTCCGTCCACAACTGTCTTATCTGAGAACCCTGCCCCAGGAGCTTCTCGTATTCACTCTGGTGTCCCAGCCCTTCACCATGTCGAGTGTGTGATGGGATCGCGCCACGCTTTCTAGGTGGCGCTGGGTATGTAACCAACATGGTGGTGCAGTTTCCAGATGTGCTTTCAACCACTGCTCCAACTTGGCTTTGCGTTCCTCGTAGTGTGAGCCATTCTCGATACCAACTGCTTGACAGACTCCCCAGACTGCATTTCGACCTCCGCCATCCACATGAATCTGCCACCGTGACTTCAGCACGTAAGGGAGTGCCCCAAGGCTCATGCAGACTAGAAACGCAAACAGTTTGTTAACTTGGAGTGGGGAGTCCGCACCACGACCTTCCCGCAGTTCCTGGGCCCCTCCAGTGTTGCTCGCGTGGGCCTCGGGGAAGGTGACCCCACTGCTGAAGACCCTGAGAAGTCTGGGACTTCCAGAGGAAAGCGCGCGTCCAACCAAGGCCCCGAGACGGCTGCAGAGGGCGCCCAGGAAGCGCCACACGGGGCCACTCGGGAGCTCCAGGAAGAGGCAGCCGAGAGCTCCCCCCGGGAGGCCCCGAAGCGCACCCGAGGCCACCCCCGAGAGGCTCCCGAGAGGCCTCGTCGGCGGTGGACAAGCCTCCCTCTCGTACAGTCGGCCTTCATTGGACAGGACACGCGAGAGGACACGAGACCCTTGCGAGGGCCACATCGCCACAGGAGTGTAAGAAGGCACGTGTCGCGAGGCACAGGACAAAAGGGCACCCTTGAGCTGGCAGGGTCGACCTACTAATCCGGGCCGACTGTAAACCACCCTTTCGTGAACACGGCCTAGGACCGAAACCGACGGACCTGGACCCGCACGCCCTCTCGCGAACCGAACACGGCCAATTCGCTAATCGACGTGTCAGGGTAGGAGGTCCATCAACCTCCGACCTCTCAAAGACTTCTACAGGCATCATCAGGGCGCTCACCAACAAAATGTCGGCCGAGGGCCACTGGATACCCATCGGATGGAAGAGGTGGGTTGAAGTAGGAATGCGATGAACGTAGACTGGGTGTCCGCCCCTCCCCCGAACATCAAGTAAGAGGGAGAATCACTCGACGCTTGAAATCTAAAGCAGAGTTTGATTTGAGAGTTCAACAACACCGACTTTCAACGAAGTATGGGTAATGTAATATGTCTGTAAGGCATTGGCACAAAGGATTTGCACACGTACCGCGGCAACGACCACCACGGCTCCTGATCGTATGACCTCCAGTGGAGGCAAAGGAGATAGAAGTAGAATGCACACGAAGAGGATGGGGACCATGGAGGGCCGGAGGGGGAGGAGATGGACAGAGAGGAGGGAGGAGGAGCAGGACGAGGCCGAGGGGTGGAGGAGGAGGAGGAAGGGGCAGACGACGAGGCTGTATTAAAGGGGCCCAGGGGCACACAAATATACACACAAACAACAAGATACCCCATATTTCCACATTCAGTGCTTGCACTGAAGGGGTCCTAGCGGATATTGAAAGAGAAGGCGAATATTTCACGCCGATTTTGGTGGCAAGCCGGGTTCCCGGGTTCCCGGGTCTGGGTTCCCGGGTTCCCGGTTCCCCGGCCGACTTCGGTGAGCGGAGAGATTCCCAGGTTCCCGGGTTCCTGGTCGATCTTCTTATCGATCGGTCTCAGCATCGATCTTATGTCCCACCTCTCTATCGATCTCACCGTCGATCTCACAATCGATCTCACAATCGATCTCGCAAGCGATCTCACTAGAGATCGCACGAGCGATCTCGCGATCGATCTCCCTATCGATCTCATTGAATCGACTTCACTCTCGGTCTCATGATCGACCTTGCCATCTTCAAATATCGATTACACTATCGATCTCATGATCGATCTCACAATCGACCTCAAGATCCATACGACTAATTTCAAATCATCCACTGATGGGGGTCTCTCAAGTGTAATTTCCTTTTTTGGGGGGGATTTTCGTCTTCCCCCCCCCCACTTCCCATATTTTCGCATACTTTCCTGGGAATCGGCGATGAATTGCGTCTGTGTGAAAAGCAGGAGAGGAGTGCCCGAAGGGAAAGGAAGGGACGGAACATCAGCAACAACGCCGTGGCGTACCGGTCCCCGCACGCCCGGCGGCCGACCCGGGTGGCGCCGCGCTCCGCCGCCGCGCTGGATGCATTGGCACTGGCCTCCAGGGATCGCCCTCTCGCGCGTGCCCTCGTCGTCGGCGTCGTCGTCCTCCTCTTCCTGCTGCTCCCCCCCTTGCTCCCACTTTCTCCGTCTCTCTATACCGCACCTTCCTCCTCCTCCCTCTTCCTCCTCCATGCCTTTCATCCTGCTCCTCTTTATCGTGGTCCCTCTTCTTCCTCCTTCTCCTCTTCCTCCTTCATCCTTCCCCCTTCTCCTCCTCAATCCTCCGTCTCGACCCTCCTCAATCCTCCGTCTGGTCCTCATCCTTCCTCCTCTCCCCCTCCTCCACCTCCCCGACCCCCTTCTCTTGAGGGCTGAGGAGGAGGAGGCGGAGGGAGCGGGAGGAAGCAGGGAGGAGAGGGAGGAGCAGAGCGGAGCCAGAGGAGGACGAGCAGGAGCAGGAGCAGAGGGGAGGAAGCACCAGCGCACAACGCAGGAGGGTCTGTGCCCGACTGGGCGTGCGGAGAACAGCACGGCTCCCGGGAGGCCTCAAACAGAATGCCAGGAGAGCCCAACGAAGCCCAGGAGCAGAGCCGCGATCCGCCAATCGCCTCCGACGAAATCCCGAGAAACTGAAACCCCAAGATTCAACAGAACTCGCGCGCGTTGCGCAAACTCCGTTTTTCACTCCTGCTGCCGCCCCAAGGGGTCGGCACTGCAGCGTCAGCCAATGAATCAGATAGGGGAGGAGATGATAAGTGTGACCCGCGGCGCTGCGGGTTGAGAACGAGAAGCCAGCACCACGGGACGGTTGAAAGCAAATTCCAGCTTGTGTCCCCACATGGTGTTCGGCGGTGGACATACCTCCCTAAAAAAAACCTTTAATGAAAACGGCCTAAGACCGAAACCTACGGACCTGGACCCACAATAATAACAGTCGTGACGACCTCTCGCGAACCGAATACGGCCATTTCACTAATCGACGTGTCAGGGTAGGAGGTCTATCAACATCCGAATTTTGGAGGGCAGAATGTCTGGACCTAATTCTGGATAGTGCACGGGGCATGCGATCGCTGAAACACCGTTTCAATAGAAATGTATGTGACCACGCTCTCGTGTGACGCATCGGCGCCGTCGTGACGGAAGAGACCCGTGGGCTTGAGCGTTGGACCTGGGTTCGCCCCGCGCGAGATTGGGTACCAGCAGAGCCATGCACCCGCACATTCTCATGTCGAGGGATGGTCCGTGCGTGGGACACGTAGCCTCGAAGTCCCACGACCTCGCCACTCATGCGTGCAATCATGTGTTCACGTGATTCCTGTAATGCCCTGGCGATCATGACACACAGCGCCATTTAGCCACGCGCAGAGGGGGGTGGGGGGAGGGCTTCTTAGAAGCACCCCTGCTTCTTAGAAGGCGCGGGCCTTATCTATAGATGCAAGGCTGGCGCCGTCTAGAAGCAACCTCCCTCTAAGAAGCCTTCCCCCCTCCCTCCACCCCTTTGTGCGCACCGCCGAGCCATGCACCCGCACACGCGCCACTGCGGCGCATGTGTGCCATCTGACGCGCATGCTGTACCTCTCGAGCGGCTTAACGGGCAGGGGGGAAAACAACAGAGTCGGGAAAACGAAAGACTCGGGTACAAGGGACTCGGATTGGCCTGATGGGAACCATCATACACATGATCAGACCCAATCTGAATTTTGACGCGGCCCCCCGCTGCAAACATCCCACGAAAACTCGACCGTACAAATCCAGGACGCGCTCGCTAAAAAACCTCGGCGAACCCGAGTTCCGGCTTACTCGAGTCTTACGTTTCCCGACAGAGGCATCAGAAGGGCCACAAAAGGCTGCCAAGACGCAACATGTAGCCTAGATGCCCTCAATTGATGTCAACACACGTCGAAAGCCCAAAATCCGCGACTCCAAAGGGTGTGGTTTGCAAAGGGTCTGGTTTGCACCCCGCACCCTGGGGAACATCCTGGGGGGCACCCTGAGGGAGGCGCGGGGACCTCGACAGAGTTCCCCCGCGCCCCGACGAGGCCCGACGAGGACAGCGTCGTGCCCCCCAGGCCCCACGGGTGCCGATCTCAAACCACACCCTGGCGTGACCATACCCTTTGTAGTCGCCACAACAACCCAAAATACGTAGCACCCCGCAAGTGCGGATAAGAGTGAGGGCGCAGGCGCGGGCGACGCGGGCGTCGAGCCGGCGGACCTCGTGGCCCTCACCTTCCCTGTCGATGGCGCCCCCCTCAGGAGGGTCATTGAGCGCCCCGAGGCCCCTTTAATTGTGGGCGCCTTGACGCAACTTCCCCTGAACCCAGGCTTTGGGCACGGATGCCGAATTGCAGCAGGCAACTGGATTGTCTATGAACGTGTTCAGACACAGCCCCGCCGCAAACGCCGATGTGCTGTTGTAGAGTCAACGTGGGCCGGATCGGGGAAATGGCACGAGGGCGCTTTCCCAAACCAATGCAAGCAAGCCCGCCGCGGGCGCCGATTTGCGAGCTCGGACAAAGTCAAAAGGGGTCCCGCTGGTGGGCCACCCGGAACGAATGCAAAAACAGCCCGCCGGAGGCGCCGAAGTTTTGGCTTGTTCAGTGAACGTAGATTGGGTCGCGGGCTCTCCACCTCCACCTGGAAGGAATTCAAAAACAGCCCGCCGCAGGCGCCGAAAATTGTGATCTGTACACTGAACGCGGTTTGGGTCGCAGGTTCTCCACCTGGAACGAATGCAAAAGAAACCCGCCGCATGCGCCGAAGTTTTGGCTTGTTCAGTGAACGTAGATTGGGTCGCGGGCTCTCCACCTCCACCTGGAAGAAGTTCAAAAACAGCCCGCCGCAGGCGCCGACCATTTTGCGTGGGTCGCGTGTGGGTCGCGTGTGGGTCGCGTGTGGGTGGCGGTGGGTCGCGGCTGGGTCGCGGTTGCGGTTTGGGTCGCGGGTGGGTCTTAGGTTCTCAACCTGGAACGAACGCAAAAGAAACTCGCCGCAGGCGCCGAAGTTTTGGTTTGTTCAGTGAACGTAGTTTGGGTCGCGGGTGGGTCGCGGGCTCTCCACCTCCACCTGGAAGAAATTCAAAAACAGCCCGCCGCAGGCGCCGAACATTTTGCGTGGGTCGCGTGTGGGTCGCGTGTGGGTCGCGGGTGGGTGGCGGTGGGTCGCGGCTGGGTCGCGGTTGCGGGTGGGTCGCGGGTGGGTCGCAGGTTCTCCACCTGGAACGAATGCAACAGAAACCCGCCGGGGGCGTCGAACATTTTGGGTGGGTCGCGAGGTGCGTCGCGGGTGGGTCGCGGGTGGGTTGCTGTGGGTCGCGGGTGGGTCGCGGGTGGGTCGCGGGTGGGTCGCGGGGTGGGTGTGGGTCGCGGGTGGTCGCGGGTGGGTCGCTGGGTCGCGGTTGGGTCGCCGGGGGGGTCTCGGGGTGGGTCGCGGGTGGGTCGCGGGTGGGTCGCGGGTGGGTCGCGGGTGGGTCGCGGGTGGGTCGCGGGGTGGGTCGCGGGTGGGTCGCGGGTGGGGTCGCGGATGGGTCGCGGGTGGGTCGCGGGGTGGGTCGCGGGTGGGTCGCGGGGCGGGTCGCGGGTGGGACGACGACAACAACAAACTACAAACAACAAACAACAAACAACAACAGCAACAAGAGTTCGCATCGCAGAATTCAACTTCAGCCACGCACCCAGGGACAGTGAATGACCGTTCGGTGCAGCCCCCTCACTCTGATTGATTAAACTGTCTGGGTATGCTGAGCATCTCCGCTCAAGAAGACTCCAAGGAGGGCCTCGGAGGAACCGACTGGCGCCAAAGATATAGCCCAACGAGGGCCCCGGCCAGACCCCGGAAAAACCAGGACATCCCCAAGATGGCACAAGAAGGCTCAGGTGGGTCCGAATAGGGCCTCAACTAGATGCCTCCTATCGGGGAGACGTGAAACTCGGGTACGAGGGACTCGGGTTGGCCTGACGGGGCCATCATAAAAATGACGAGACCCAGTCTGAAATTTGACGCGGGCTCCCGCTGCAGACATCCCACGGAAACTGGATCGTCAAAATCCAGGACGCGCTCGTTAAAAAACGTCGCCAAAGATGAGATCCAGCGCACTCGAATCTTACGTTTCCCCGATCCTAAAAGGGGCCCAAGCAGATGGGGTCGGAGGATCGCGCCGAATCGCCGATGCATACCGATACATCGACGATGCATCGACGATGCATCGGCGATGTCGGCGATGCGTCAGCGACGTCGGCGTGGAGAAAATCGGGCTCCATATCGAGCCGCATCGCCGATGCATCGGCGATGCGGACCGATCTTCCGACCCCATGTATTCTGGCCGCATCTACTGCGCATTTTCTTAGGGTGGAGGGCTCAGGGTGAAATCCAGATGCGCTCTTGCACTTCGAAAATCAATCCGTCTTCAGATTTACATTTTGTAGATTCGAACCTCGAACACTAATCGAAACGGCATTTCAGAGTTCACCCTTTGCCCTACACCCAAAGAAAATGCTCGGATCTAGGAGGCCTAGATCAACAAAACGATCTAAGGCACGAAGACTGGTATACAACAACAAGACACCTTTTCCGCCGCCGGGGACGTCTGCCCAAGCGGCTGGAAAATGCAACGGCACCACGCAGGAGAATCAACTGCCCAGCCGCCCGGGGGCAGGCGCCCCCGACGGCGGAAAAATGTATCTCATTAATGTGAAAGGGCCGAACGGCCATTCATTGTCCTTGGGTGCGTGGCAGAAGTGGGGATCCGCGGTGAGGATTATGCTTGTTGCGTTATGTAGCTGTACATGTTGTTGGTGTTGTTGGTGTTATTGTTGCTGCTGCTGCTGCTGCTGCTGTTTTTGTTGTTGTTGTTGTTGTTCTTGTTGTTGTTGTTGTTGTTGTTGTGATTGTTGTTTGTCGTCGTCCCACCCGCGACCCACCTTGCGACCCACCCCGCGACCCACCCCGCGACCCACCCGCGACCCACCCCGCGACCCACCCCGCGACCCACCCCGCGACCCACCCCGCGACCCACCCCGCGACCCACCCCGCGACCCACCCCGCGACCCACCCGCGACCCACCCGCGACCCACCCGCGACTCACCCGCGACCCACCCGCGACCCACCCCGCGACCCACCCGCGACCCACATGCGACCCATATGCGACCCACCCGCGACCTACCTACATTAGTTTCACGAAGGAATCGGCGCCTGCGGCGGGCTCGTTGTATAACTTGTAAAACATTGGCGCCTGCAGCGGGCTCCTCCAGAGTCTCGCAAACTGCCGACGTCCCCACCGCCCCCTCACTCTTATCCGCATCTGCGGGGTGCTACGTTTTTTTATTTGTTAAATAAAAAATGATCCGCCATCGGGGACGCCTGCCCGCAGGCGGCTGAAAACATTCACGGTGCCACGTGGGGGAATCAACTTTCCAGACGCCCGGGGGCAGGCGTCCCCGACACCGGAAAAGTTTATCTCATACCCGTCTTCGCCTGCACGGTTTCCCCGTGGCCGTAGGCGACCCGAGGAGGAGGAGGAGGAGGAGGAGGATGAGGACGAGGAGGAGGAGGAGGAGGGGGAGGAGGAGGAGGAGGAGGAGGAGGAGGAGGAGGAGAGGAGGAGGAGGAGGAGGAGGAGGAGGAGAGGGGAGGAGGAGGAGGAGGAGGAGGAGGAGGAGGAGGAGGAGGAGGGAGGAGGGGAGGAGGAGGAGGAGAGGAGGAGGAGGAGGAGGAGGAGAGGAGGCAGGAGGAGGAGCAAGAGGCGGACGGGTCGCCTAAGCCCTCCGGAGAAACCCTCCACCTTCGCCAGCCAAATTGCCCAGAAGGGCTCAAGAGACCCCCCCCCAGCGGCCGAGGGAAGCCCGAAGACAGGCCGAGCTTGCGCGCAGAGGGTCCAGCGAAGGCCCCGAGACGCCCAGCAGGGGCCCACGAGGGCCCCGCAGCAGCTCGTGTGCCTCCGAGACGGCCCAACTCCTCCGCCTCCTCTCCTCCTCCTCCTCCTCCTCCTCCTCCTCCTCGTGCTCCTCCTCCTCCTCCTCCTCCTCGTGCTCCTCCCTCTCCCCTTCCTCTCCTCTTCCTCTCCGCAGCCACTTTGGCTCCAGCTTCTGCCAGAAGGCCTGGGGGCGGACAGCCCCCCGCAGGCTCCCTTCGGGCGGGGACCATCGCGCTGCCCTCGGAGACGGCATGGCATCGGCGTCTCCGCCGCGAGCGCGCCTCCAGGTATTCCAAGGGTCGTGGTGAGAAGCGCTCCTGTAAACGCCACAAACAAAGAAGGCGCCAGAGCTTTTGTTGTGAATTCACACGTTCCGGGGCGCTCTGGGGCGTCATCCCAGTCCTGGGACCGTCCGACTGTGTTGGGGCAATCTTCTAGAAGCCTCCCAGATGTGGCCAGAGTAGATGTATGTCGGGCGTGTCCCCCTACAGGGGGATTTTCGACAAAAAATAAAAATAAGAAACACAAACATACCCCAAGAAGGTAAAAAAATACTCAAAAAATAGTCCCCAGACTATTTTTGGATTATCTTTTTAATTGTTTGGGGTATTTTATATTTTTCGTCGACAATCCCCCTGTAGGGGGACAGGCCCGACTTAAGAGTAGATGGGGTCCGAGGGCCGCGCCGCATCGAGGATGCATCGGCGATGCACGGGCGACGTCGGCGATGCAGCCGCGCCGTCGGCGCGAAGAGCATCGGGCTCCACACCGAGCCGCATCGCCGATGCATCGACGACGCGGCGCGCTCCTCCGAACCCCTTTGCGGGGACCCCAGCTTGGAGGCCTCCGTCTCTGGAGCTCCTGCCTGCGGTGAAGTCGGGCGTGCCCCCCTACAGGGGGAATCTCCACACAAGAAAAAACAAATACTCGAAAAGTACCCCCAAATGGTCAACAACATGCTCAACAAAAGCATCCTCAGACTATGCTTTGCCTATGTTTGAACCTTCCTCCTGCAGAGGGACGTGCCCGAGCGGAGGCGGCGACGCCGCGGACCCCGCCGCGGGCATCGAGAGCCTCCGAAGGCCGCCGACGGCCGCCGAAGGAGGCCGACGGCCGCCGCGTCGGGGGCGGTCAGGAGGGGGGTGTCCACTGGCCATCGCTCGGACGTCCATTTCCCGTGCTTTTTTGTCGGTTCCGTGCGTGGTGTTTTCGCCAAGTGGTCGAGGATGCTCCTCGAAGGTCCTCGCCGAGAAAAGAATGCACACGTCCGAGCGATGCCGAGTCCAATGGGGGGCGCAAATCGTGGCCGGCGGCATGTGCGCGGCCCGGGGGGGGGGGCAGGGACGTCTTGAGAGAAGAAGAGGCGCCATGACATCTGGGGAGATAGCATGGCCCCCGCCATGATGTCCTCCCCCCTGATCATAAACAACCCTCTCTTTGCCGCCCCCGACGGAGGGCCGCCGAGGGCCGCCCTGGGCGGCCACCAGGGTCGCCCGAGTCGGCGTGCACGCGGGCTGGACAGCCGCGGGGGCCTTGTGCACCAGCAGCCCGAAGCCCGCGCGGGGCGTTAGCTGCAGGAGGGCGGACTCCTCCGGGCGGGTCGGTCGGACTCAGCACTGCAGCAGTCTGGGCACCGTCTTGCTGAAGGTTGAGGCAACTGCTGGGAGGTCTTCGTCGGATCAGGCAGACATGCGCCCCATTGGGGGGCTGCTACGCCGGATTAGGCCGCGGATAAAGCGGGTTTAAGCCGGATTAAGCGGGATTGCGCCGGATTAAGCATCACTAAGCTGGATTAAATCGGATTTCGGACCAGGGCAAAGTCAGAATCCCAGGAGTTGCATCCGAATGAAGGGTTCTCACCCCGTCTTGGACCAACGGGGGTACACACGTCGGTCGGAAAAGGAAGGCAAAAGCATGAAGCAAGAAGCCGTTGAACATATAGTGGGCTTCTTCCGCACGCAACCTGATGATGAGGGAAAATGCAAAGCTGGTCGACTCTTGAGGTGGGAACGCGGCTGAAGAAGATTGGAATCTGGCAGTCCCGAAATGACTCCTTTCGACGACCAGCGTGCACAGTTGTAGCGACCGCCACCGGAAGAGGAGGGGGAGGAGGAGGAGGAGGAGGAGGAGGAGGAGGAGGAGGAGGAGGAGAAATTGGAGAAAGAGGGAGGAGGGGAGGAGAGGAGGAGGAGGAGGAGGAGGAGGGGGACGAGGAGGAGGAGGAGGAGAAGGAGGAGGAGGAGGAGGAGGAGGAGGAGGAGGGGAGGAGGGGGAGGAGGGGGAGGAGGAGGAGCAGGGGGTTGCCTCCACATGGGGAAGCTGATCCTGGACGTCGGTGCTGGTGGCAACATTTCGGTCACCCTGGAAGCCAGAATACCACCACCGTCACCGACATCGGGATCCTCTTCCCTCGGTTAGAGGCACACCGCCGACATCGGTGTCGGTGCCCCAAAGTCCCGACGACGACGACGACGACGACGAGAAGACGCCGACGACGAGCAGCCGCCGACAACGACGACGACGACGACGACGACGATCCGACGTGGCGCCGCGGCGGCACAAGGGGGGGCAGACAGGACGAAGGACGAGGCCAGGACGAGGCGGAGGAGGAAGAGGAGCAGGAGGAAGAGGAGCAGGAGGAAGAGGAGCAGGAGGAGGAGGAGAAAGAGGAGGAGGAGGAGGGGGACGAGGAGGG